TGGTAGGCACCACAAAACACAGGAACAGAAGCTCCCTGGGGCCCAGCGGGGCCCCAGCAGCCATCTCCGGGAGAAACGCTCTGGGGAATTGTAAAGGTGGGGGAGGGAAGGACGGAAACCCAGCCCCCAAGGGGCCAGGGCAGGGCTGCCTGTAGGCCCTGAGAGAGCCGGTCAGGGAGCCTGGCTCGGGCTGTAGCTAATGCAGATGCAGGATGGGAGGTAGGGAGGGGACCGACTGGGAACAGAGGGCGAGTGTTCTCAGGCGGGAATCCCGGTGCCCCGAGCCGCCCGCAGGCCAGCCTGCGAAGCTTGCATCCGGGCCGTGACTCCGGGCCCTGCTGGGTGACACCCTGGAGGGCCCCCCAAGCCCCGTGGCCAGGCTGGACGGAGAGAGCTGCCCCCCACATTTCTCATCCAATTTTTACCCTTCTCCAGCCCGGTCTCCACCCGCCCCGCCCCCTCCAGAGCTTTAGGGGGAGTCACAGCCCCGCCCCGTCCTCCAGCTTCACTCAGAGATCTCTGCCAGAGCGGCCATCGCCGAGGACACGGGTCAGGCCAGGCAGGGGGTCTGACCTTCTCTCCAGGAAATGCATCAGCCACACTAAAAGGTCATTTTCACCCACATCCGGGCTTTGAAACACTTTCTGGGTGATGTTAGCCGACCTGGGGTGAGTACCCTAAAGAGAGCCTGTCCCAGTGCCGTCTGGTTCGATTACCTGCCACTCCGGGCGGCCTGTGAAAAGCCTGGCCCGCGAGGGGGGCGTCAGCGGGCCTCTGGTGCGTGCACCGTGGCACATGTGGCCGCTGGCCCGGCCGAGCTCACGCGGCGGGCGGTGGGCGGGTGGCTGCAATCAGCCTCCCAGGCCGGGGCCCTCGGGCGGGGCCTGTGCCCGGGTGGAAGTGCGAACTCGCCTCTCTTCCAGCTTAAGTCCTGCCAGTGATCAAAGCAGCCGAGGACCCCCATGACGTCACAGGAAAGTCCTACGCTCAGACTCCCCATCACAGGGCTGCCTCGAGCCAGACAAAGTCAGGATTTGCAACACAGACGTTCAAAGCAGTTGCCGGCTTGCCAGCTGAACCTCGCAGACCGGCGAGAGCGAAAGAAATTGATGCTGATCGGTTCTGCTGTAAGCTCGGCCTCACGCCCAGCCCTGTCCGAAAGTCGGCCCTGGTTGCAGAGGAAGCACGCGGGCGGGGGGCAGAGCCGCTCAGGCTTTCTGTTGCCAGACTTTGTTAGGTCGTGACGCAGTTTTTGGAGGGGTGTGTGTGGGGGGGTGGCCCGTGTGTCAGGGGGTACTGGGGCGCTGACCGGACAACCAGCTGGGACAGGACATGGCCCTGTGGTGGCCGGGGACATCTGTTACGCCTCCAGTGCGGCATGGAGCCACGTCACCCACGGGCACCCTTGCGGGCTCCCTCCCCAAGGATGAGTCTCCAGGGCCAGTGGGCGACTCCAAGCTCAGTGCGGCCACATGTAGGCGCCGCATGTGGCCAGCTTTAAACTTCACTAAACTCCTCATCCCCGTGGCAGCTGCTCCCCAGACACCCCCGGGGGACGTCTCGGCATCTGAACCGGCAGGCGCAGCATCAGCTGGGCTCTCACTAAAATGCCGCCTCCCGGGGGTCCTTCCCCGGGGAGGGGGTCCCCAGAAGCCAGGTGTCACCCTCGGCCCTTCTTGTGCCTGACCAAGGCCCCAGGGATGGAGGGAGCAGGACCCGCTTCTCCTGGGGCCAGGGCGGTAAGCTAGTGTGGCCGTGAGCTCGGACCCCAGGCACTTCGGGGGCATCAGAAATGCGGATATGCTCCCACACCCATCACACCTTCCCCCGCCCCCAGTCTGCTGTGTGGCCGCCTCTGCCCAAGCACTGAGGGGCGAGGTGGGGAGCAGACACACGGCTTCTGTCCAGGGCGGTCAAGGGGACCCCAGCAAACCCCTCAGGACACCCCAGCCTGGCTGGGACCCGCATCTGCAGAGCTCCCTTCCCCGCCTTAGGCACCCGCCGTGGTCCACTGCACGGGACGACATCAGCTGGGGCCGGGGCTGGTGCAACAGACCACCCCTGGGCCCCTGGCTTCTAGCTGATCCTGCTCGGAGCCCCTGCCCCAGCTGACACCCCAGCGGCAGGAGAGAGAGCTGCCCCGGGCACAGGCCCCTGTGGGCGGGCGGGAGCCTGCAGGAGCCCGTCAGGCAACTCCTGCCTCATCTCTGCAACATCTCAGGGTGCAGGGCGGCCGTGGGGCCAGGAGGGAGAGCCCTGGGGAGGGGCGGGGAGCCGCACCTGGTGCCCACCCGCTGCCCTCACCGTCCCACCCGCTGCCCACGCCGGGCGGGCTCGCACCTGTACGGCTGCTCCCCGGTGTGCGTCCTCAGGTGTCTCGTGAGGTTTGCAGATCGAGGGAAGATCTTCCCACAGTACCTGGGGTGGCGGGCGGGGGGAACGGCAGGCGGAGTCAGACTCCTGTGCTTTACTGGCCCAGCCTGCCCCCCACCCCTGACCGGGACAGAGTCCCCAGCTCCCACACCTGGGGCAGGTGGCCCAGCTGCACATCACGGATTTCAACCTGTCGCAGCCCCAGGGCCCAGTTGAGCTTAACAGAGACCCCGCGTGTACCCCCGGGCACATGGACCGGCTGGCTCTGGCTGCCTCGGGCTGCGCCCCCTCCCTGAGCAGCATGTCTGCCCTGTGGCCCAGGGTGCTGAGCTGGCTCGGACCAGCTTGGACAGGGGGCCGCTGGGATGGCCCCCCTCCCCGATGCTGGGCTTTCGGTCCCCTCCGGGAGCTGGGGTTAAACATTGACCGGCACGGCTCGGTTGCCGCCGGCTGGTGTTTTCTCGAGCTTCTAGGAACACAGCGTGGTAGGGGAGGGGGTCCGCCCCGCACATGCGTATTTGCAGGTAACGGGCCATTGCTACGGGGCAGGAGGCTGTGACTGAGGTCTTTCCTGGAAGTGCTGGTTCACAGGCCACCTGGCCAGGGCCACCCTGCAGCCCAGGGACTCGCTGCGTCTCACCTGCATGTGTACCGCTCCTTGCCCTTCCTGAGGATGGGGTCCGAGAGCGTTGGGGGCGGGGACCGGAAGTTGAAGGGGTGGTGGGGGAGGGGCTGCAGGGAGCCGCCAGCGTCCGCCTTCAAGGCCGCAAAGCTCTCCAGCTTCTCCGTCATGGTCTCAATGGCTGACACCTGTGGGCACGAGAGCAGGAAAGGCTGGGGGACTCCCCGGAGCTGCTACCTCCCCTGTAGAGCGTGGGCCCACGCCATGGGCCTCTGAGGGTCCTCGGTGACAGAGCATGTCAGTGCGCCAGCCCAGGACAAGGCCGGTGGGCCCTCAGGCTGTCATTGGAAACAGCCGTCTCATTTTCTTGGCCGTGGAGCTGAACTCCTCCACTTCCTGTGGCCAGTCCTGCCCTCGTCCTTCCACGGAACCCCCATGACAGTCCAGGGTCCAGGCCGTGGCAGCTGGAACCAGCCCTCAGCAGCCAGCCAGCCTGTCTGCCTGGCCTGGTGGGACACAGTGATGCAGGCTGCCTATAATGGGATTATACAAACCCTTATTTTGAAACGAGCCATCAGCATCCTGATGGTTTGACCCGTGTCCAGCACCCATGGATGACTAGTTTGGGTTAAAGACGGAATAATACCTAAATTTTTTTTTTTTAATGCCCGTGGCACCCCGCATTGCTAGGTGGTCTCCCATCCAAGTACTAACCAGGCTCGACCCTGCTTAGCTTCCAAGATCGGCCAAGATCGGGCATGTTCAGGGTGGCATGGCCGTAGACTCTAAATTGTCTTTTGAGTTTTGACAAATTAAGACAGCTACCTGAATCCCAGGTTAAACAGGGATCACGGGCCTGAGGCGCCACCACCACCACCTAGTGGCCGCAGGCCATGACTGCAGGGGAAGGCCCAGAAAGAAATCCGCAGCCTGAGACTGGACCCCACCAACCACGTGCCAGGGGGTGCTCCGGGAGTGCCCCGGGGGTGCTCCGGGGGGTGCTCCAGGGCCACACGGTACCAGACTCCAGGAGGACACAGGAGCTGCCTCCCGGCTCCGTGGAGGTGCCAAGGCTTGCTCAGGGAGAAGGGGCTGTGGCACTGGTCATCTCTGCCTGTTGGGCAGAGTTGTGCTCAGAATCTGACTGTGCCTGTCCCCTGAGGCTTGGGGACATGAGAGAGGAGGAGGCCGACGAAGCTGCAAAGGCCTCGGCAGCACTTCCCCGTGCTCCTGCCCTGGATGGAGGTGGGTGGCCCGGTGAGCCCGGCCTTGTGGGAGGCCGGGCAGGGCAGGGCGAACAGGGAGCTTTCCTTACGGCCAGGGTCCTTCGGGGCATAAGCTGGGAACAACTGCCTGGTTACAACAGAGACGCCCAGAAAGGGCCTGATGGATAGAAAATGGTGTCCGCCCATCAGGGCCCAGGCCTCGCTGTGCCCCAGGGCTGTGACCCCATGGGGCCGGCCTGGTCGCCCATCAGACGCAGGATGCTTCCTGCCCTGGGCTGCCCTCCCCGTCCCACTGAGGGACAGGTGGAAACTGTCCCCTCCACGGCCTGGATGGACCCGGAGCACAGACTGCTGCCTACCTGTCTGTGGTCTTGGTTTTAGCCACAGCCTTGGAGGGGTCTGGAACTCTCCACCACCCCAGACTCCCCAAAACCGCCAGAGGGGGTGAGGGCTGCCTGCCACCTAACCACGGCCCTGGCAGTGTCCCGCATGGCATGTGACCAGCATAGGCTGACGTCTTCCATGGCAGCGAGCCCACACGTTGTAGGAGCCATCAGTTATCCGGCCCCAGTGACGGCCTGACCTCAGGCCATCTAATCAGGTGACTTATTGGTCATCTCCCATCACCCCCTCTCCCCACCAGGCTCTGGGCCCACAGGGCAGGCAGTGGGGGTGGCGGGGCCCAGGGGGAGGGGACAGGAGAGACAATGGGTGGCCGGCCCCCCTGCCGGGCCTCCCTTCCTCAGGCCTGGGTGGGTCTCCCAGAGGCCTCCCCAGGTCCGGCCTGCCCAGCCTGCTCTGCCCGATCCGGGCCGGCTCTGTCACAAACACAAACACAGGATGTGCCTGGCTGGCTTGTCGGCTCTTTCCAGCCCATCCCGAGGAAAATCGGGGGAAGTTATTAAGCAAACTCCACGGCCCCAGTGAAACAATGGGGGGCACTAAGTTTAGCTGTGAGCCAGGCAGGGTGAGGGCTTCACAGGCTGGGGTGTTTGTCCCAGCCCGAGAGAGAGAACAATGCCCTGTCTGCCTGCCTGGAGGCGGGGTTCGGGCCCATCCCGCGGTTTGGGTCCCTGGACCCTCCGGGTGTGGGGAGGAGGCCTGTGGCTTTGGGGGGCCAACGAGCAGAGAATCCCAGAGCCTCTGCCGGGCTCTGCTGCTCAGCCCAGCTGCTGCCACGGCTGTGCCCATCCCCTTGGGAGAATGTGGCCGGACGGGCAGACAGCAGTGCCTGCAGGCTTGGCGGGGTCGGAGGCCACTGCCCACCTTGGGGTTTCTTTCCCACACCCCAGCGCTAGTCAGGCAGACGGCTTTGCCACACTCTAGCCCGGGGGGAGGGCTCTGGCCGCCCCCCCCGCCTGGGACCCTCCGGCCCGGACGCCGGTCCCTCTTCTTTGCTCCTGCCCCTCGTTTCCCGCTCGGCCCCCTGCACACAGGCCGATCCTGTCCTGGCCTTGGCACCGAAGCTCCCTCCAGGCCCGCACAGCCCAGAGAAGCCGCCCGCGCCCACGCCTCCCGGCCGTACCGACCTCCCCCACACTCGGAATTCTGGGGTTCACTCCTCCTTCACTCTGCCCGCTGCCCCACTGAAGCTCATCCCCTTGCTACATCCCGAGCCGAGGTTCGGGGGTCCCCCTGCGGGCCGGGGTCCTTGGTGGCCTCCGAGAGACACAGGGTGCTGCTGAGAACCAGCCTCCCTGTTCGCTCGTCCCCCTGGCCTCACGGTGACTGGGGGTCCGTGGGGCGAGAGCTCTGGGCACGTGGCAGGCGGGGAAGTGGTGCCTGCTCGGCGCACCCAGCCCGGCCCGGCCCGGCCCGTCTCACCTGGGGGTGGTAGAGCAGTGGGGACGGCCGCAGGTACCTCTCCTTCAGGACGCCCACGGGGCCCGGCACCTTCCGCTTCTCCACCCTGCTGGACAGCAACACAGAGGGTTACGTACCCCGCCGGGCGGCCCGCCGGCTCCCACCCCGTCGGTCGCCAGGTGGGGGCCTCACTTCCGGGCCGTCACATCACCAAGCGGGGACGCCGTGACCCGCGTGTGCCACCCCACTAGCCTGCGTGAGCCTCCTGGCTGCGGCCTGCCCAGCGCTCACGCGGCCCCTCGTGAGCCCCTGTCACCGGCGCCGGGCCCGGCCGTGTCTCCCTCCTGTCCCCCGGCACCCAGCCGCGGGCACCCGTGTGCGCGTAGACGCCCAGTGCCGGAGCCTGGACTCTCTTCCGAAGCGCCAGCCTCTGCCACGTGGCCTGTCAGCCCCGTGAGGGCTCAGCCCTGCCGGGGCCCCCGGCTGACCACAGCAGGACGTGGTGCACAGCGCACGCCGCCCCCACCGCCCACTTCCCTGCCCTCCCGGCCCTGGGCATGGGTGCTCTGCCCTCGGTAAACGCGAGTGACCAGTGGGTTCCGTCCCAGGGAAGTGACCGGGGCCTCCCTGCCCAGCCAGGTGGCCTCTACCCCTAAACTTGTGAAGGCTGCTAGCGATAACAATTCTGGAATGTTCCCCAGATTCTGGTGACAGCTCCGTTCACCACGGGGCAGGTGGAGGAGGCGGCCGGGGCCGTGTCCCGCGATCCCTCCCCACCGTTTCCCCGTCTCAGTTTCCCCTGCGGGGCTGAGACGTACTCTCGGCTCTGGGGACACCCGCCACCTCGCCACACGCAGACGCAGCCCCCTGAGCAACCCCGGACCGGTCGCTCCTGTGCGGCTCGCACGAGGGCACGCTCACGTCGCTTGTAAATGTGACGCAGCCCCCCAGGGGGCCGGCCGGGGCGCTGGCCGGAGCAGGACGGGGATGGCCAGCAGGAGAGGAGGCCGGTGCGGGACCACACAGCCACTCCGGGGAGGCAGGCGCATGTTGCGGGCGAGCCCACGAGACCCAGGGCTGGGTCCAGGAGGGAGGGGGGCGAGTGACGGGCTCTGGGGAGGCCCCCCTGGCGGGGAACGAGGCCCCGGGCGTGGCTTGGCGGGTGTGTGCGAATAGCGTCTCGCTCTGCAGGGCTTGGCGGAGGCCGAGGCTGGACCTGTGCTGCCCAGCGCTGCAGGTGGTGCCACGTGCAGGGCAGGGGACACGCATGGGGGAGGGGCGCGGTTTGTCTCCACCCCTTCTCCTGCCGCACGGTGGCCCCACAGGCTGGGGGAGGGTGGGGACGCACGTGGGCGCTGGCAGGCACAGCAGGACGCTCGCCCACCTGCCCGTCGCTGGCGCCTCTGCCGCCATATCTCCCACGCGCACCTTCAGCAGGGGTGACTGCACCTGCACACCCAGCCGGGCCCTGGCTGGCCCCTCGGGGAACAGCAGGCTCCCGGGCCTCTCTCCCGCCAGGCACGGTCCGCGCCACCAGGGCCTGCTCGCCTGCACCCCCAGGCTCCCTCCCAAGCCCGCACATGCTCACAGCCCTCTCCTCAGGGTTCAGCCTGCCCAGCACCCCAGCACACGTGCGGCGGGGGGCGGACCCCTCCCACCTAACAACCCACCTGATCAAAGCCTGCCCGGGAACTGCGGGCGACAGAGACGGCCCTTCGCCGGGAGGGCTAGCAAAGTAAACGGATACTAGTTTTTGCAAACCCTCCTCTCCCTCTCCGCTCCGAGAACCAGGGGTTCCCTCTCGGAGGCTCCCCACTGAATTCCCGGGGCCACCAGAGCCCGGCTCAGGCTCTGAGGAGCAGCTCAGGGGAACAGAGACCTTGGGAGCAGAGGAAGGGGTGTGGGTCTGAGTTCTGCGGGGGACAGAGTTGGTCCAGAGCAGACAGCTGGAGAGAGCGGAAGGGGCTCAAGGCAGGGCGGCGGGCACCCCAGTGGCCATCGGCGAAGGGGAGCCGCGTGTATCAGAAGACTTGGCCCTGGCCCCAGCCAGGGACCCGCCCCGGGGAGGGGCCGAGCCAGCGTGTGCTGAGGCACAGACCCCTGAGCGCAGGCACCCCCTGAAGCCAGCAAAGCAGAGGGGCAGGCCTTGGGGGGACCAGGAGCATCACCTCCCACACACGCACACAGAGCCGCCCAGCAGCCCTCCTGGGGGGCAGGTGGGGACAGGACATGTTAATACCTGTAGATGGGGTCCATGAAGAAGGCGGATGGCTTGGCGTAGTGCAGGGGGGGCTGCGGCAGCTGTGCCGGGCACGCCTGGGGCATCCCCTCGCCGGCCCCCAGTTTGCGCTCACCGTAGACGTGGTTCTTGCGGGGCTCCCGGCCCCCGCCGTTCTGGCTGGCCCGGGTGCGGCTGCCGATGCTCAGGTCCAGCGGCTGCTCCTCGCCGGACACCGGGGCCGGCGCGGCCTTGGGCACGGGCAGCGTGGGCTTTGCCTCTTTGGGTTTGGTGGTGAGGTCGCAGGGGGACTCGGCGCTGGGGCCGCCCACCTTGAGCGTGTCCCGGGGCGACCTGGGCTCAGCCTTGACCAGCAGGCTGTGGGCGAGGCTGCGGTCCGTGAAGGGGTACAGGGAGTGGGGGAAGCTGGGCAGGAACTGGAAGGGGAAGGCAGCATGGTAGGGCAGCGCGCCCAGCTTCTTCTCCGGCACGCCCGCGAAGCCGGGGCCGAAGTACCTCTCAGCGATGGAGGCGATGGCCTTGATGGAGTCGCCTGCCGCGCCCGCGGCCGTCAGTAGCTGCTCGTCGGGCGGAGGGAAGAAGGAGTGGTGGGCGTAGAAGACGGGCACCTCGCCCACGCCGCCGGGGGCCCCCGGGGCCGCCGGGCCCCCCCCGAACTCGGGCTTGCCCTCGGCCGCCTTGCTCTTGTCCTTGGCCTTGTCGCGGTCACTGTCCACGTCGCTGTCCAGGTCCGAGCCCGAGCCCGTGGTCGTGTCCAGGTCGGTCCCGGTCGTGGTGTTGATGTCCTCGAAGTCGCTGCCGTCCGACAGGTCGCTGCCCCGCGCCTTGAGCTTCTCGGCGTACGCCTCCTCCAGGCGGCTGTCGAACTTGTCCTCGGCCCCTGCAGCCGCCGTGGCGCCCTGGCCGCTGCTGGCCACGGCGGAGACGAGGGGCAGGGCCGGGTTCCCCAGGGGGCTGGGCAGCTTGGCGTCCTGCGCGTGGTTCAGCGGGCTCTTGAGCAGCGGCGTGGGAGGTAGCAGAGGTGGCCGGGGGTACAGGGACGGAGGGAAGATGCCCGGGAAGCCGGGGGTGAGCGTGGGGAGGGCCGGCGGGGCCGCGCAGAAGGGCAGGCCCCCCGGGTGCGGCCTGGAGGGGAAGTACTCGTTGAAGCCCAGGCCGGCGTGGTTGAGGCTGGGGGGCGGCTTGGCCTTGTCCATCGCGGGCCCGGGGGGCAGAGGCAGCCCCGGGGAGAAGATGCTGCTGGGCGTGTAATGGTTCTTGCCCTCGCAGAAGCGCCGGTGCTTGTTGAGGGAGGAGGTCGTGCTGAACATCTGCCCACAGTCCTTGCACTTGATCTGCGTGCGGCAGTCGGCGTGCATCCGCTTGTGGCGGCAGAGGTTGGAGAACTGCGTGTAGGACTTGTGGCAGACCTCGCCTGAAACGTCAGCGGAAAGCAAACACGAACGCCGTATGAAATTACGGGAAACCCTGGGCGGGGGGCACGGCGTGGGCGCCAGGTCATCGGGACAGCCTGTGCTCGTGTGGCACGCGCACGTGCGCACACGCATGTTGCTATGTGTGGGGGTGTGTCTGCATGTGTGCATTCAGGTGTGTGTGAGCACATGTGCATGTACGTGTGTATGTGTGCTTGGTGTGTTACACACATCTGCATGCTGTGGCATATGCATGTGTGTGCACGCACGGCTGTGTACATGTGCCTGCACACGAGTGCACGTGCATGTCGCTATGTGTGGGGGTGTGTCTGTGTGTGTGTGTTTAGGTATGTGTGCTCATGTGAGCACAGATGCATGTACATGTCTAGATGTGCTTGCAGACGTGTATACATGTTCTCATGTGTAGGTAGGCGTGTTACGCATGTGTGCATATATGCACATGCACACACATGGCTGTGTGTGCCTGCATGTGCATGTGTAGGTAGGCATGTTATGCATGTGTGCACATACGCACATGCACACACGCACATGCACACACATGGCTGTGTGTGCCTGCATGTGAGTGCGCACATGTGTCACTGTACGCAGTTGTGCCTGCATGTGCATGTTCAGGTGTGCGTGTGTGAGCGCATGTGTAAGGACATGTGCATATGTGCTTGCAGGTGTGCACATACATGTGCATATGTGCTTGCAGGTGTGCACATGCATCTCCACGGGATGGGCACAGTTTGCATGTGTGTACACAGGTGTGCCACACATGTGCATGCCGTGCATGTGCACGTGTGTGCACACATGGCCATGTGCGCGTGCCTGCATGCATGAGTGCGCACACATGTATATGCACGTGTGCATCTCGCCGCCCGGTGACTGGCACGAATTGGCAAAGCCCCTCGGTGTCTCTCCTGGTGTCCCCGGCTGGCTCGGACAGATCCCTCTCACTGGGAGATGGGGCGCGGCCGCAGCTTGTGCCTTCCTCCCCGTGAGCGTCTGTCATGTGGGGCCAGGGACCTCGAAACCGCTCAGGGTGGCCCCGTCCCGCAGGCGGTCACGTCTGTGATTGCGGCACCTTGCCCCAAACCCCCACCGCGCCTCTGTCCGTCAGCGATGCTGCTCCGGCACAGTGACAGGACGCCCCGACCCCCCAGCTCAGGTCTCTGCTTTCTAAAGTGCAAGATGTTCCCCTGCTCCCCCTGCCCCTTTTCTGTCCCTGGCTCTGCTTTCTGCCCCTGGGAAAGGGAGGCCTCAGGGGGAACGGCCCACTGAGGGGTTCTGAGTCAGGGCCTCTGGGGCCCTGGCAAGGCGCGACCATCGTTTGGGGGTGGCCTGCAGGTAGGGGTGGTAGGGGAGCCCCAGGCATGGCCGTGCAGAGGGGCTGGGTCCATGCTTCCAAAACAGGAACCTCCCCAAACGGGTTGAAGGAGCAGCGCCAGGCTCAGGTGGGCGGACGCTGGTCTCTGCTCTGAGCAGCAGAGGGCAGTGCCAGCCAGAGCGGCCTCCAGGACCCAGGGTCCCAGGGGGCCCGGCTCGGCCATTTTCCCAGTGGCCTGTGAGCTGAGTGTCAGCAAATCGCCAGCTTTTCTTTCTCCTCTTGTTTTTCTAGCAGTGGGAGGAACACGCACACACACACACACACGCACACACACACGCACGCACACACACACGCACACACACACACACGCACATGCACATGCACACACGCACGCGCACATGCACGCGCGCACACACACACACCGCGTGCGTGACAAGGCAGCACAATTTGTGTCCTAAATGCAGCCCCAGTGAAAACAATGCCTCCAGTGCGTTCCTTGCTGGCCACGATCGCTGGCCTGCCTGATGTCATGCTATTCCAGCTGGGAGCTCTGGCCCAGAGATTATCATGGTCTCTAATCACGGTATCTATTTATATTAACGGCTCTGCCTTCCCGGCCGTCCGGCATGGCGGGGCGCTCGCAAGGCGGAGGGGAAGAG